GGCATGCAATTTAGCCTGCCTTAGTCTCACAGGACTCAAGAGCAAAATCCTTGCCATTTCTCCCTAACAATTTAAAAGTAATTTTTTGTTAAAAAATCACTGAAAATATTAATGTGTATATTTGTGAGAAAATACACAGTAACTGGATCCTAACTATTATCTCCCAGAACCCAGGTAAATTGGAAGTTTAGCAGTCGAGAATTGAAATTCATATAAACTCATTTATTTCTTCTAACATCTTTGTGAAGGAAGAAAGGGAAAGGTTCCATTAGCCCCATTATACAGCTAGAGAAAGTGAATACAGAATAGAGGTAAGATTATAGAATTAGTCCAGCAGAATGAGCCAAAAACCTGGGACTCTTTCTACTCCTGGACTCCTTTCTTTAAACTGTTTCCCTTCTCTCATTGTAGTAAAATCTTCACATAGCATTACTTAAACATAACCCCTCAAAGCCCTGCTGATGAAGAAAGGATATGAGTCTAACTTAATCCAGACTGCCACATGGAAAAGCCATCTGTGGGGATATTTTGAAGGAAACAGATGGAAAAGGAAGAGATTCTTCTGAATGTCATGTAAGATTTACATGATCCTGCATGGACTTCCATGTAGTCCCCATGTTTATCTAATTTATCACTATTTCCTTCGACAGCATAGATTAAGAAACCTACATGAACGCGTGTTCTTGCTCTTAATTCTAAATCTCAACTCCTCTTCTTTAAAGGTCAGGTCAGTAGTATGAGAAAAATGCAAGAGAAATCAACTGATCAGTGAAGACCAGCTATGTTCATCCTTTGCTCCTAGGATAACTATCAGTTCTCTCGAAAGCTTAATTCACTCCCTACTGTCCACTGATCTCATTTTTCCTTACTTTCCGATTGAGAATATTTGTTCTAGCCAGGCTAATCTGTTTGCCCTCCACCGCATATCATCCCTTCTACCTTGGTGCCTTTCATATATGACATTTCATTTGCCTGGAATGCCTTCTTCCACCTACCAGCCCAGCCTTCATTGTTCATTTTCCTTCAGAATTCACCTCTTTCAGGAAGACTTCCGCTAATAAAGAGAGAGGCTGGGTAGGGTGGGGTTGCGGAAAATCTTTTAGATTGGGAGCCAGAAGACCTGGTTTTATCATCAACTGGCTGGGGGGACCTTAGACAGGTCACTTAACCTTAATCTTAGTTTGCTCAAGAATAAAATAATTATAGGAATTCCTGCCCCACCTACATCATAGGGTTATTGGGAAGGACCAAATGAGATATAGACACTATACAAATGTAATGAAATAAAGTAGTATCATTATTACTCTTTCATTCTGCATTTTCTCATTTCACTGGAAGTTCTTAAGTATTTTCTTAGGGATGTACATTGTGCATTGGCAACTGGATTGAAGTTTCCCAAGGACAGTGCACTATCTAATATTTCTTCTGTATTCATTGTAATACCTACTACAGAACTCACTATGCCATGTTATTGTTGACTCCTTTTTTTCAGGATCTGACTCTTTGTGACCCCATTTGGGATTTTCTTGGCAAGGTTACTGGAGTGGTTTGCCATTTCCTTCTCTAGCTCATTTTGCAGATAAGGAACTGAGGCAAACAGGATTAAGTAACTTGCCCAGGGGTCACACAGCTAGGAAGTGTCTGAAGCTGGATTTGAACTCATGAAGATGAGTGCAATTATGTAAAGCATTTCCATATTAGTCATTTTATACAAGACTTGAATAAAAGAAAAAAATGAAAGAATGAAAGTGAAAAACAGTATGTGTCAGTCTGTACTCAATCGATATCAGTTCTTTCTCTGAAAGCGGATAGTATGCTTCATCATTAGTCCTTTGGGATTGTCTTGGATCATTGCATGCCTGGGAATAGCTAAGTCATTCACAATTCTTCACTGGACCATATTGCTGTTACTATGTAAAATGTTTTCCTGGTTCTTTTCATTCACTGTGCATCTGCTCATGTAATTCTTTCCAAATTTTCCTGAAATCATCCTGCTTGTCATTTCTTATAGCACAATAATAGTCCATTATAGCTTGTTTGGTCCTTCCCAAATTGATGAGCATCCCTTTGATTTCCAATTCTTAGCTGCCACAAAAAGAGCTACTATAAATATTTTTGTACAAATAGCTCCTTTTCTCCTTTTTTTTTTCAGGTGTCTTTGGGATATAGACCTGGCATTGGTATTGCTGGATCAAAAGATATGCAGTTTTATAACCCTTTGGGCATAGTTACAAATTGCTCTCCAAAATGGTTGGATTAGTTCACAACTCCACCAACAGTGAATTAGTGTCTCAATTTTCCCACATCCCCTCTAAAATCTAACATTTTCCTTTTTTTTGTCATATTAGCCACTCTGATAGGTGTGAGGAGGTACCTCAGAGTTGTTTTAATTTGCATTTCTCTGATCAATAGTGATTTAGAGAATTTTTTTCATATGACTATAGATACTTTGATTTCTTTGTCTGAAAACTGCCTCTTCATATCCTTTGACCATTATCAATTGGGGAATGACTTGTGTTTTTTATGAATTTGATTCAATTCTCTATGAAAAATGAGCTTTATCAGAGATACCTGTTGCAAAAAATTTTCCCCAGTTTTCTGTTTTCCTTATAATTTGGTTGTATTGCTTTTGTTTGTGCAAAAACTTTTACATTTTATATAGTCAAAGTTCTGTTTTAAATTTTGTAATGCTCTTCATATCTTCTTTGGTCCTAAATTCTTCCTCTATTCATAAATCTGACAGATAAACTATATTCCATGCTCTCTTAATTTGCTTATGGTATCTCCCTTTATGTGTAAATCATGTGCTCATTTTGACCTTATCTTGGTATACAGTGTGAGATGTTGGTCTATATTTAGTTTCTGCCATATTGTTTTCCAGTTTTCCCAGCAGTTTTTGTCAAATAATGAGTTTTTGTTCCAGAAGCTTGGATCTTTAGGTTTATCATATACTAGATTATTATGGTTATTTATTATAGTGTAATTTGTGCCTAATCTATTCCACTGATCCATCACTCTTTCTTAGTACCAGATTGTTTCTGATAATTACTACTTTATAATACAGTTTGAGATCTCCAGGTTTTTCTGAAACTTTCCTGTTTGTCATTTCTTATAGCACAATAGTATTCCATCACAATCATATACCACGACTTGTTCAGCCCTTCCCCAAATGATGGGCATCCCATCAATGTCAAATTCTTTGTCGCCACAAAAAGAGCTGCAATAAATATTTTTGTACTGTACATACTCTTCCTTTTCCTTTGATCCCTTTGGGTTACAGACCTAGTAATGGTATTGCTGGGTCAAAGGGTATGCACAGTTTTATAGTCCTTTGGACATGGGTCCAAATTGATCTCCATAATGAGAGGATCAGTTCACAACTCTACCAACAGTGTATTAGTGTCCTGATTTTCCCACATCCCCTCCAACATTTGTCATTTTCCTTTTCTGTCATATTAGCCAGTTTCTGTCATATTAGCCTTTAGTAGCCAGTCTTCAGGAGCAGTTATGAATAAAAAAACCTCTTCATCTGATGGCTATCTTTTGAATTTAGCAAGACCAATCCTTGGATTACAGAGATCAACCTAGTGGGTACCTAAAGCCTTTCCTGCTTTGTGGGAATGATAGAGGTTGTCCTCTTTTGGTATAACTTTGAGAACCTCCATGACATATAGGACATATTTATAAGTGATTCTTATTTCAGAGTTTAATAATTTACTTGCTATAAAAGGCTTCTTTATACCTAACCTAGAGCTGTGCAGCTTCTATTCAACCTTGATAGAAACAAGAAGCATCTAGACCTCATGCTCTATATAATAAATACTTAAACATTTGACAATGACAATTATTTATTCCTGAGACTTCACTTCAAAATGATAAAATCAAAAATTTGGAGCTGAAAAGGACCTTAGAAGGCCACTGAACTTAGAAGGCCAAACTTCTCATTTGACAGATGAAAAACGGAGGGAGAAAGAAGATAAATGACCTACCCAGGGTCATATAGCTAGTAAGTATATGAAGCCAGATTTGAATCCAGGCCTTCCTGACTTCAAGTCCAATGCCTTATTCACTACATAATGGACTTCAATGGTACAGGGAACTCCTAGGGAGGAAACTTTTTCTACTAATACAGATTGGCAACTCTTTAGCAATGTACAGTCTTAGAGACATGACTGGGCTGCTGAGAGTTTAAGTGACTTGTCCAGGGTCACACAGCCAGTCTGTGTCCAGGTTGCCTCTCTAATTGTTTTCTTAATGAATATAATACGTTTCTTCTGATATAAACTGAACTTAGTATAGGAACTTTAGAAGGAGGAATTTTGACACTGTCAAAGGCTTCCAGTCACTGCGGTTGAGATATTTAAGCACATTGTGGTATGATTTCTCAACTTGCGAAATCAGGCTAACTTTCCTCATCAATTAACTTTTTTTTAGTGCTATGTACATTAAATAATTATTTGAACACTCTTTAAGAACTTCAGAAGATGCTATATGATATTAATATGATAAAGGAAACATTTAACAAGTATTTCGAAATATTTTTACTTATAAAAGTATACAGATTGTAAGTTTCCTATGAAATCAATGGATGGTTATGCGGAAAGGTACAAAATTTGGTCATGAATACATTTGGAGTAAGAGGTATTATAAAGACTCAAGTTGTTTTTGCATACCTCTCACCCCCAAAACTTACACATTAAACTTGTGTTCTATTATTTCCAATTTCCAAATAAAAAAACTGTGACAGATTAAATGAATTTATATAGGCTCTACATTCTCTTCATACTATATCTCTTTAAATCTGAGGTATACCAATCTTATTAAAAGAAAATTTTTTAGTAACATTAACACCATCTGTTCTAAGAGACTAAATAGAAAAATATCAATTGAAAGGATTGTATGTATTATGTGGGAGTGGGGTAGAAAGGACAAATGTGGGAAGAAGTTACTTTCATTTCACTCCTAATAGTAATCAGAATTCATGATCATTCGTATCTTACCTGAGCAGGCTTCTTTTGAATCACTTGTTGTGGCTGGGAGAAAGAAAGGAAAAAAAGGCAGTGTTAAACTCATATGGGACAAAGGTAGGAATTATTTTGGCTAAATTTGTATAGTTACATATAAAGTTAAGAGGATACTTCAAGATTAAAATGATTCTTTATAAAACATCTAAGAGTCCAGCTACTAAGGCATACATAAACATTAGATGAATACAACTGAAAAACATTATTTACAGAGACAAATATAAATAAATAAATTAGAGAGATATTAATTTGCTTATGGTTGGGCTGTGCCAGCATAATAAAAATGACAATATTACTTAATTGCTTATAGATAAATTGCCACATCAATCAAACTACCAAAGTTTGCCTACTTACAAAGCCTACTAGGCAAAGCATAAAATATTCATCTGAAGGAACAAAAGGTCAAGAATCTTAAGAGAAACAATGAAAAAAGTGAGAAAGAAGACCTACTAGTAATAAGAGAAATGCTAACTAAAACAATTTTGTGGTTCTACCTTGCATTCATCAAATTGAGCAAAATGGCAAAAAAAGAAAATGACAACCATTTGAAAGGATCTGGGAAGACAGGCAGAAATGCACTATTGGAGTCACGAAACGGTCCACCCATTCTAAAAAGCAGTTTGGACTATCACTCCAAAGTCATGAAACTGTGCATACCCTTTCATGCAACAACATAACACCACTACTAAATTTACACCCTGGGCTGCTAGGTGGTGCAGTGGAAAGAGCACTGAGTTCAGATCTGGCCTCAGAAACGTAACATTCTGGGCAAGTCACTTAACCCCAATTGCCTCTTCAGAAAAAAAAAAAGATATATACCCCCATAAGGATGAAAGAAAGGATGCAGATGTACAAAAATACTTAGAGTAATTTTTTTCGTTGCCGTAGCACAGAACTGGAAGCAAAGTAGGTGCCCATCAGTTGGGGAATGGCTGAAAGAATTATCATACGTGAATGTAATGTACCATAAAAAATAAAGAAATGGTTGGGAGTACTCATATAAGACTGATGCGGAATGAAGTGAGTAGGTTCAGGGGAATAATTTTTTACAATAATAACAACATTGTAAAGAAAACAACCATGAAAGCCTTGAGAACCCTTATCGTTTCAATGATAAATCCTGATTCTAGAAGACTGATAATGATGCATGCACTCCTGGGCAGAGAGGTGATGGATTAGAGGTACAGAATGAGACATACATTTCCAGACAGATTGTGGATGAGCTATTTTTTTTCCTCTCAACTACATTATTTATTGCAAGGGAACAACTTTATAAGGGAGAATATGTATAGGGAGTAGAGAAGGCAATTAAAAGAAAAGAAGAAAAGAAAATCAGTAAATCATTAAAAATACACAGAAGGAAGTTCAGAAGGGGACACAGACAAGTAGGGCAATGTTGGAACTACTATGTTAAAAGATGAAAATTCACTGTCCTATGCAATCTTATTTTTCTATTCTTTGTGTGGGGAAATGTTTATATTTGTGAATGGTTTTCAAGTTTGCAATTTTAAAACAGGACAAATATTGAAAAGATTAAAACAATTCTACAAAAGAGTACTATGCAAATTAATAACAGTATATATGTACACATATATGTACACACATATATAGTATGTTGTTATTTTAAAGCATTTTCATATGTATCATCTCATTTGATCCTTACCACAAAATTGGTGGTACAAATGTGATTATCTTAGATGTCTGAGATGAGGAAATTAAGGCTCAGAGAGTTGAATGAATTGATTTCCCCAGAATTCGACTGTTATTGAGCAGTGGAGCCTAGGTAGCAGGGGTAATTAGGTGACACTGTTGGTAGTACTGGGCCTGGAGTCAGGAAGACTCATACTGAGTTCAAATCTGGCCTAACACATTTACTAGCTATGTGACCCTGGGCAAGTCACTTAACCCTGTTTGCCTCTGTTTTCTCACCTGTACAATGAGCTGGAGAAGGAAATGGCAAACCACTCCAGTATCTTTGCCAAGAAAACCCCCAAATGGGGTCATGAAGAGTCAGACACCACTGAAAAAACCGAACAACAACAATAACAGCAGAAACTAGATATCAATCCAGGTCTTTTTATTCCCATCCCCTGATATTTCTCTTGTTGTTTTTCATCCTTCGTTTTCAAGGAAGACCAATGACATAGCAACAGCTGATGGGTGATGTCTTGACTTGTGTGTGAATTGGATTTAAGTGAGGCAGAGTTGTGCAAAGTCTCTTCCAGAGTCATAGAAGTGAAGTCCAGTGGCAGGACAAAAATCAAGACAACTGGCAATGGCCCTGGATGCGATAAAATGACCATGGTATCAATAATGTCTGACCAAGCTCTAAGTGCTCCTCAGTGCTTCAGTCTGCTTCAGCCACCTTTATGGACACTGGAACAAATTGTCCTCATCCCCCATTTCACCAGGAGAAGAAGTCTTCACATGCTTGGGATAGTCATCTCCCTAACTCACCTATTTTTATTACAACTTGAAGAGACCCCATTTTAAACAACTTCTGATTAAAACTAGACAAGGCAGCCTATTTTTAAATAGAACTTGGGCTATAATTACTGAATTTGTTGACTTCCAGAACCATCTCTGAGTTTAAATATGAGCAGGCTAAATGATACCTATTCTAGTATGTATCTTGGTTTACACACCTAGTGAATATGGCTACTTTTGTGATTAAAACACTGGATTCCTAATGGATTTTCCAATATATCTCAAACCAGTTTTAAATAATTGGTTGAGGAAACAAGGGAGGCTTATGATAATGTTTTAAGCACTTTTTGGTTGCTTTTAAAAGAAATCTATTTAGGAATTAGTATTAGTCTGACTTGATTGTATCCCAAATAACTTACAGTTATTCTAATAAAAGCCCCAGTCCCACAATTTTTCTATGAGTGAAGATATCACTACAAATAGTGACTCACATTGATATAGCATTTAAAAAAGATATTAAAGCACTTTCCCCCACGACATTGCATGTACGTAGCTTATGTGTTACTATTGCATTTCCATTTTACAGATAAGGAAACTGGGGTTCAGAACAGTGATATAGAGGAAAGAATATTGATTCTACAGCCAAAAGAACTGGGTCTGAATTCTGGCTATGATACTCAGTGCCTACTCAATTTCCAGTATGTCATTCAACCTCCTTGGGCCTTGGTTTCCTCATTTATAAAATGAAGGAGTTGGATTAGATGGTCTTCGAGGATCCTTCTAGATCTATATCAAGTCACCCTATAAATGACTTGATCAAGTTGTTATTAGCAAAACCTGCATCTTTTGGCTCCAAATCTGGGGCAACAAATGCTTTTGTGGTGACATTGTTGGAAACAAAATGACTTCAGTTTTCCCAAATAAAGAGATACGGCTAAACATACCTCTTGTTCAAAGGATGAGACTCTCCTGTTCAATTTCTGTCCCTTAAGTAGTTACTTAATGATCTGCTGTTCTTAATAGCTAACATTTATCATTTGCAAAGCACTTTACAAAGCTTTTATCATTTTATCTTTACAATAACACTAGGAGGGAGGTGTTATTATTGCCATTTTACAGATGGGGAAACCGAGGCAGACAGGTTAAATGACTTCTCCAGGGTTACACAGCTAGGAAGTATCTGAGAGCAGGGTTTGAATTTAGGTCTTCCTGATTCTAGGTCCAGTATTTTGTCCCCTGTACCACCTAACTGCCTTACTAGTGTCTTCTAAAAAAAATCAAATCCAAAGTATCAAGGCTCAGTGAGCATGATTAAAAAGAAAAGTGGCAGGAGAATTGTATTCAGGTCTTTAAAAAAAATTCTTCTGGTATGCCCTTTTCTTTGCTTTAAATCATGGTGGAAAAGATATTCTGAAACCACACAGTTTGTGATGATGTCTTCTCCAGGTGGATGGTTTGCCCAGGGCTCATTAGAACTTTTCTACCCCTTAGGGCTCGAATGTTCTTGCCAAGAGATTAATTCATCTCAAAAGAGTCATTTGTAAGAATAGACTACATTGAGCCTTCAGTAACCTCCATCTCCGGCACTCCCCTCCCTCTTTCTCCTCTTGGTGATTACACCTGTACACATGTTTACTCTCAAACCACATCAAATCCACAGACATTCTTGCAGGCTGACTAGTTCCAACTGCTCAGAAATCCCCACATTTTTTTGGCTGTAGACTCTGCATTCATGTGACTCCTGCATGCTCTGTAGCTCAATGAAATCCTCTGAAAGAGCTGCCAACTCACCCAATTTTCCATGAATTAGGTCCTGACACTTCAATGAGGGGAAAGACAATGTCTGAAACGAGGCCAGCTCTGGCTCTCTGCCTAGTCTGCTCCAGTCCTCCTACCAGCTGCACTTCCACAGATCACTTCATACTTTTCAGACCACCAAACAAACAGACCCTTGAATACTTTCAATGCGGGTTGGGGTGACGGCTGCCAGTATGTTTTCCCAGCCTCTGGCACCCAATGGCTCCAGACTGTATCCAGAAAGTTGGTTGATTTTTTTTTTGTTTTTATTTTTATGAATGGCTTGGGCAGAGAACTTCAGACTGGATACTGCGGCCATTCATAAAAAGAGAAAGAAAAAAAATGACACTTCCACTGTCTGGAAACCTTTTGTGATACCAACCAAATTACAAGTCGCTATCTTTCCTAGGTTACTTAGTATCTTAGTCCTAAGTGTGTATACTGATACGCTAGTTGCCATTTAGGGTTTCTATCATTAGAAACATGTATGGGTCACTCTTCTTTGGATTCTTTTTAGGGAAGAATTGTATGACATTAGATGTAGATTTTATCATTTAAATGGTCCAAATGAAAAGCAAACAAGCCAACTTTTTTTTTTCATGTGCCCTACTAACTAAAGTTATTTTGTATATACATTTCCTATAGAGAACAGTCATTTACATTCAATGTCATGTTCATCCTTTCTTGACTGGGAGGACACAGGCCTTAGCATTGATTCTATTTTTTTCCATGTAAAGAAATTGAGGTATAGAACGAATATATGATGTTCAAGGTCAAACAGAGAA